TGAAAGTGGTACCTATAAAATAGAAATAAATCTGAATAAAAGACGGAACTAAATTATTTTTAGTATTTGATGTTTTTCGATGTTTCATCAGTTTTTCAATGGTTGTGCCATATTACAGAGCAAAAGCGGTTTAAAAAAATTAAGAACAGTCCTGTTATATCAGAAATTTTATTGAGCTTGTACATTTCAACTCAACTTGGGACAATATCCAGGCCATTTCATATCAGATTATTTTAGTCTTTCTGCATAAAAAAGCAATAATCGCAAATTCTCGATAAAAATCCAGAAATTCGCCAAATACACAAACTTGAAACCTAGAGAGCTTAGCCAATTAAAGTAGAGCTCCCAGAAGTCTGAAGTATCTAAATATATTTTGAAGAGAAACATATTTTTTGGGTCTCAGTTTTCACGCGCCTGAGTGGAACAGAGGGGAGCAGATGCCCATCTCCCCTCAAGAATCTGACTTCCTCGCTGCACAAAGCGTTCCCCTTTTCGGTATTATCGTACAATTTTCCAAGAAGTGTCAAAAATTGGAATTTTGGCCCGTTTTTCAAAAATGCAACTGCGGCGCCAAAGATGTTTGCATGTTAGGGTCGTTATGGATTTTTTAAGAGCTCGAAAAATTTAACTGGTCACTAAAAAAAGGTTGCCATTTTTGACAACCGCTCCTCGAATAAACTCCAGATCCGCCCCTATGAGTTAATTAGTTCTATTTGTAGAATCGGCTCACACGCGAAATTAAGTAGTTATGCCATCGTATCATAGCATAATAGTTGCATAATAGTCTTGGTTCTTTTAGCACCCAAGAGAATTTTTCTTTTCATCGTACTAATGGATTTCTGCGGCCATATCACTTTGTACAAATCATTTTTTTTAAAACTAAGCTCAAATCACTACAGTGTTTACGTGCACTATAAAATAAAACACCTATTTCGATCGGGCCATGAAAAAAATCAGGCTCAGTAAATCTCCTCTTTAAATGTTTTTAGATATTTTAATGTATATGTTTTTAAAAAATTAGCTCAAGCTGATATATTCCTTGAGTCGTAAGAAAAGAACAAAATACCTGTCCCGAATAAGGAGAAACACGAGAAACGGATTATGCTTAGACAGGCTGGATAGCCTTTTATAGATCCTCTGGGAATCGCAGAAACCACAATTATTATGTTATTGTTTTAATTGAAACTATTGCTTGCATCATTATGAAAATCTAATGATCCAAATGCCCTTTAATTTTCCCTTTCAGAATGGAGGTGAGAACAATTACTCTCAGAATGGACCAGAGAACATTTCCTCAGAAAATGTCAAGTTTATAGTGATGTTATCATCGTCTAGTGACGCAATAGTCTAACCAATATATTTGCTTGAACTTAAATTTGAACAAATCGGTTTTTTTCGTTGCTAGTGTGCTAAAAGAAGAAAGGAAAAAACGGCGCTTATTTAAATGATTTAACAGTAGTCTTGCGTGGGTGTTATTGATACGCTTACGTTGAAAAATGGCGAATTGTTTCTTTTTCGAGAACTGGGACTAAGATATTGAACTTCCGGTCGTGAACCAAACGCAATTATGATGTTTTCTTTGAACTTCAAAGCCACTGCATAGTTTTTTTCAGACAGCAGTGGAATAAAATAGTTATAATACCGGATGACTTTGTAACTGAGAAATCAAAAGTCCAAATGTCTACATAACTTCTCGAAACTAATTATTTTAACAAATATTAAAAAAAAACTTTTATAAGCGCCAAATCAGGTACTTTGTTGCATAACTGTGCACAACGGCAGTGCGCATTCTTCCCAATTAAAATGCCTCCATTCTGTCTTTGGTAGCTTAATCCTTTTTTGCATAGACAATGTATTCATAAGTTTGATGTAAAAAACGACCCTATTTAAAATGATTCAGTAGAAATGTCAGTTTATGAATTTGGTTGTAAATAGAAAATCTAACAATTTAAAAAAAAAACCATGTAAAGCAAAAACTGTAACATGCTCAAATAGCGGGCACCTTACCTCCTCTCATCTCCTCTCATCTCCTCGAGAAAATACTAGATCCCCCTGCATAGGTGATTTGATTTTGAAACTACTCGATTGTTTTGAAAACCGCATTCATGATAACTACCTAATTCCAAACACATTTGTTTTTCATACAAAACGTTGTCAAATTAAGTACAATGCTTAAAGCCTATTTTTATCGGTGGTGGCGGCAACAGTAAAAAAAAACAACTAAGCATTTATTTTTTCGACTGTCAATTAAACTAAACAGAAGCTGTAAGTAATTTTTTCAGAAGTTTTTCCGCTATTGAAAGAGCAACAACTCAAAAAATTCTCAATATCATTAAACAAAGTTAAAGATTGTTGACTTTGACAGCTTATTAAAAATTAATCGTCAAATGCTTTTGTGAAATTCGTGAAACAAAAAAATCATGAGACGACGTCGGTGCATAAGGAAACTTGACTTAGTTGCATGCTTGCGCAAAGAACTATATTGATTTCAATACCAATAAAAAACAATTCATCGGGTCGCGAGACGCTAAAAGTTATTTACTGTTAATCAAAAAATAGACAAGATGCATTAGGAGCAAAAAAATTAGGAGTTGGAATTTGATGGTTTTGTTAATTTCGAAGAAGTTAACTCAGATAGGCAGGTAAGCAATTACGGCTCTGTTAGCGCGGTTGTTATAAAATTAGATTGAACTTTTATACAAAAATCAAGCAAATGCTTTTGAGTTGGGCAAGTGTTTTTGAGACTTCAGCAAACGACATAACGTGCGCATAATTTTTGTCGTGCTTGCTGCTAAATTTTGTCATGAGATTCAACCCAACATTGAAATCACAAAAAAATGTCTCGACCTACTCGCAACTTTTTTGTCTTGACTACAAAATAACTGAGCTCGCTCATCGTATGCCGGTGAGAACTAAACCCGTACCCATTAAAATCACTGGGAAACTTCCACATTCTTCACGTCCTACTTGAATCTATTTTCAGCTTTTAATGTTTCATTTCTTATCTGAAACTAAGATCTGAGTTAGCGAAAAACATTTTTATAAATTTTTGATATGAAATTGATAGTTTACAAATTAATAAAGCTACTGATCATGTGAACATGTCATCATGGAGCACTAAGTGTTTAAAACTAGCAACTAATAAACACCTACAGATCGTAATAAATGAATGAAGTCGAATTTTTTTTCGGGAGAGCTAAAAAGAGCGTATATTAGACCGATTTATAAGAAAGGAAACAATAGAGCAGCTGAAAATTATCGGCAAATTTTTGCTAAATTTTTAAAAAGAATTTCATTAACACGTTTAACTTAATGTATAAAGAAAATCAGCATTTAAATAATATGCAAATCAGTGATCTACTTATGAGATATGTTCTACTAGACAAAAAAGATATTAGATCTGATTTAACCCGTTTTTAAAGGATCCAGCGGTTATTGTTCCGACTTTCGATACAAAAGTAACGGAATATTTGTGCTCGGGTGGGTTTTTTTTTTTCAGACAAATTTCGACTTTTTAACTAGCCATATTTGACGGAATATTTTAAAATTCGAAAGCTATTGTTGTCCTGAGCTTAAATTTGAAAAGATATTTAACCTGTGATCATTTTTCGTAAAATTGTGAGGGTTTAAAGATTGCCATTTTGGCCATTTTGACCAATTTGGGACAATTAACGCGCAATATAATTCGCGCTATTAACGCGTAAGCGGAGACTCAATCCGTCTTAGACATCGTTCCAAATTGGTTGAAAGAAGCTTATTTGCCATAACTGATTTGTTACAAGGAGCGAAACCCATTGTTTTCTACTTTATATGGCGTGTGGGGGGATGATTTTTATAGAAAAATTTCAAATTTTGGAAAACAAATTTTCATTTTATTTTATTTCATTTATTTTTTTTATGTTGTTTATGTTATTACTGCTTCATAAACGTTAAAAGGCAGTCGGAACTTTCAGGGCTTCGCCCTAATACGAGCTGTCTTGTATTTGTATTTTATGATTCATACATACATAATATAATTATTTCGAGCAAGTTTTTGAATTTGCAACTTTTCTTTAGCAATATTCAACTGCTATTAAAGTTTTGAGTGATATAACATTTTTCAAATTATATTTTTAGTCTGTCTATTTTCAAAATTTATCAAGCTTTGATTTTCATGTGTTTGTGGATTTCCCGATGACTCTCTCGATTTTAAGGAATCATATTTCAGAAATTTTGATGGATTTTTGGCTATGAATCTGCCAGTGTCTGGCAGAAACTATGAATGAATGGAATTTAGAATAGCCAATATTGCATCAGAGCAATGGAAATTTTCAGACCTAAAATAAGCAATAAAAACAATTTTCAGGCCGGCATTTTTTCACAACCTAAATAACCATGAAGAAGCATATTTCAGATCTGACGTTAGATTTGACATAACAAATTCCTTAAATATCTTTATTTTATCCTTTTACGACCCATTCAGATCTAATTTTAGTTCTGAAACAGAGCATTTACCAGGTACGGGCGACACAATTTTCATCAAAATTCGAATTGATTAAAACCGCCGTCTTTTTTGCGTGAGCTTGGGTCTATAATTGAGAAGCGCTCGTTTTTATCGAATCTCCCATGATTTTTCTTTGGCACGTTTGGAAAAAACCGTTTGATGCAACCACTCCAGTTTTTTCTTTTATGGACAATTTTTTTATTTAGTATCGAAAGGACTCTGACAATGAATAGGCGTTTTTCATTGTATAGAAAGTGCTCTGACTCAAAATAAATTTTAAATGAGAAGCAATACGCCATTCGAGGACACTAATAAAGTCAATTTTCTGCAAAGCGGATATTAAAACTCTAAGTGACGACTTTCTCATAATGCACAGGTTAGAATTTGGTAAAAACAAAGCCAACCAAGCGTTTGTTGACGGAACAAAAATTGATTAGAAATAACCAAAAATTTGGATGTTAATTCAGTTTGCAGAAAAAACAATTCCCACGAGAGGTAACACTAATTCACTTATTTAAATTGGTTTTCTTAATTCACTTATTTAAGCGCAGATGAGCTATCATTATTTTTAGAAATATACTACAAATTTATTTTAAACATTTTCAATCATTTGATGTCGCGCAGGAATTCGTTTTTGGACTGTTCATTACAGTGTCACTGGATCCCTTGTTGCAAGGTAGAAGCAGACAAACAATTAAACAACTCACAATTTATGTTTAATTTAAAGTCTTTTAATTTAGGTTAAATTGTAATTTTAGACGGAGTGTAAAGTTATTTATGTCGAAAAAATTTTTAAATTCGATTTTCGAAGAAAGATCGTGTTATTTATGCTTGGGGTAGTTTTTTTATTCATTCAAATTTCGGAGATCAAAAAAAAATTTTCTATAAAATTTTTATTACCTCATTGAACATACGAGCATCCGTGAGTTCAAACTAAAAAGATATGTTCTACCTCCGATTAATGTTTGTTAAGCCCTGGGGTTTGCCAATTGCCAATTTGGTCATGCTCTGCAAAAATTTTTAGGCTATTATTGTGTAAGCGGAGGTTCAATCCGTCTGAGATATCGTTCCAAACTGAATTGAGGCATACTGTTTAGTCTGTTTACTACTTCGCTGGTCGATAATTTTCAAAAATAAAATGTGACTTTTTTGTGAGATCTTCATTAACTGTTTGAAGCAAACACTACTCTATTGATTTTATAAAGCTTTCGGAAAATGCAGGGTTTTCCTATATAACGAGCAGTCTTTTTGTTCCGACTTTTGAAGAAACTGATTGAAGATATGTGCTCGGGTTTTTTTCTCCAGACAAATTTCGATTTTTCAACTAGCAATTTTTTGACGGAGTTTTTATCTTCCAAAAAGTATTAGCGTCTTGAGTTCAAGTTTAAAAACAGCTTTCTACTGTCATTTTATTTTGAAGTTTTGGTGATCTAATAAAAGTCACCAAAACTAATTCGGGATAATTTATGCACAATAAAATTCGCGCTATTAACAGCGGTGATAATTAAAGTGATATTTAATCCGTCTTTGAGATTGTTACAAATAGAATTGAAGCATGCTTTTTGGTTCCTTCAATTTTTTTGTATTTGTGAAATCTACTAGTTTTAAACAAAAACGTCTAGATTGAATTATATGACCAGAATTTGCCTTTAAAAATATCTCAAAAAGAACAATTGAGTCTTGCTTCTTTCAAAAAGTAGTTACAGAAAGTAGTAAAATAAGGACAATTGGCATTCTGCCACCTAAAAATAAATTGGCAAGTCTTTTAACCCAAATTTTTATATTTCCATAGAGGATAGCTTTGATCATTTGTTCTTGGCTTATGTAAATTTTCTGTTGAAACTGGGAGTAAATGTTGTCCGAAATGGACATTCAAAACAAGCATTCTAGATAGTAAAAATTTGAAGTTGCGCTTAATTTTGTCCACTAGTCTGGACCCTCATGAGTTTCTGATTTTCTTTTGTCGCAAAAAATCTTGACATCGTAAGATATACACTAGTGGAAAAAGAGAGCAAATGATCAAAGCTACTTTTTATGAAATCTTCAAAATGTGTTTTTAATGACTTACCAAGGTGATCCGAGTCTTAAAATGACATTTTTTTTCGTCTGCAATAAATTTTTCAATTTGCGCAAAAAAGTAAGAAACACTCAAATTTAGTACATATTTCACAGTGTTTATTTCACTTTTCTCGTTGAGAATGTTTCACGTGGCGTGAACACTTTTTTCATCGCTTATTCAAGAAAGAATTTACTGCAATGCAGAACGTAGTCCAGATGAGGAAAACTGGCACTTACAGACCCGGATTACATTGGTAAGTCATTAAAATCATTTATTGATAGTTTCGAAAACCGTAGCTCTGATCATTTGCTCGGCATCAACGTAAAAATCTTAGCGAATTTTGAAAGAAATGTTGTCAAAAGTAGACATTGAAAACAGGCAATTTAGAAAGTTAAAGCGTGAATTTGCGCTTATGTCTCCTCTTTATTGTAAATTATCAGAAAAAAGCTTAAGATATAAATTGTTAAATTACAGGTGTGCCTCGTACAAATAAACGCAGTATTGAATGCTTTTAGGCAAGTATGCATTTTTTGACTCCAGTTCAAGTTTATGCAGTAGATAACAACCATCTATATAATCGCATCATGAAGCTTCATGAATAAATCAAGACACGCAGTGTCGAGATATGAACAAAGTGCAGGACGCCATAAAAGTTGTTGCTTGTCTGGTATGAAATACATGCAAAACAATTGAACAAAACACCCATATTTGAAACTGTATTTACGTTAGCAAGCAATTTTCATACTTTTTCTTTGTTTTTTTGTTTTGGTTGATTGTTCTAGGAAAAAGGTTTCACTATTAATTCAAGTATTGATTTAGTTGTTCAAATATAGCACTATTATTTCAAGTACTGCTTCAAATTTGGCACGGAAAAATTTTGAGCACATGTGTTTTGATTGCTGAAAAGAAACAAATTTCGTTCAAAGCTTTATTCGAGACATTGGAAAGCTTAACTTTGGTTTCAATGTCAGTAAACGTAAACGAAAAATGTTGCGCTACTCCTTAGAAGTATGAAGAGTTTGGCTTGGCGTATTTATAACAAAATTGGCCGATTGGCCACCTTAAAGTTTTTTTTAAATCAAAATGGGCTAAATTTTTTAAATCAATAAAAACAAGGTTCAAAATTAAAATTTACAAAACTCTTTTTGTTCACGTTGAAGAGAAATACAGGTAGCAATTTTAACCAGTGTTGACAAAAATGCTATTCGCACCATTTCACGCATTGATATATGTATTTCTCACTCATTGTATTAAAAAGAAAAGTTTTTTCTCCCAAATTATGAACTTGTATGACCAGCTTGGCTGCATAGTTTTAAATTATATGACTTTTTAATTTTTTTTCTATGATTCAAAAAACACAAGAAGGGTAACCATTAGTTTAAGGGGCAATACTATCAAAGATCAACTGCGTTTGAGGATTCGCCATTTAAGTTTTATTTTGAATTTCACTCAAAATTATATTTAAAAAAATGCCATTTTTGCTGATGCAGAAAATTCTATTTTTGAGAAAATGCTAGTGAAACAATTTCCATAAATGAGATTTGCATGACTGACATCTTTCATAATCTTCATGTTTTATGGCATTGTATGACTTGATAAATGAGTTGTTTCATAAGTGCATGGATGTCAACCCCTTATTGTTACATCACATGAGTAAGAAAGATAGCTAGAAAGACAAACAGCAAGAGTTACATAGATAGTTTGCAACAGAATAAATCTTAGCCAGTTTTACAGTGGATAAAAAACAGGAAAAATATGCTTTGAAGTGGAAAATTTGGAATTAATAAACCGGTTTTTCATTGGATGGTTTTCAGTTATTGGGGCAAAAATTCCGAATAAACATTATTGCGAAAAAATTCCGAATAAACAGTGTTGTGATGTTGTGAGAATCGGAAGACTGCAACTATTTGATTTAACGATTTTTTCGTCTTGTGTTATTTCCATTACTATTTTAATACTAAAACACCTACGTTAAAGTGTGAAATCTAATTGGGTATTAAAACAAAAAAGCCTTTGATCAAGCTTCATTTTAAATGCAAATTGTGGACCACGATTTCTACCAGCTGAAAAAAAAACATTTTCATTTTAAGCCTTCATTTGCATCAAAATTAACGGCACAAAAATAAATCATTTTCTTTTCATTGGGCAGTTTTGTCGTTTAATATTTATCTTAAAGCACATTGAGGAAATTAAAAACCAGAAGAGTATAAAATATCGAGAGACTTTGTTCGTTGAAATTCATTTAAAACATTTGACTCAGTTTGGATTCACTACAACTTTACGGAGCTGATTTACAAAACGTAAATTGAACGGACGGCTTTCGTTTCACTTAGTTTTAATGAAGTCTAAAATCGTGAAAAAGTACTTCTTGTTTGAGAGGTCAGCCAGCCCAAGCAATTCAGATTTGTCTATAATATCGGGAGCAGGCGACGGCGAAATGGCGCCCGCAGTTCAGATCCGAAAACCCGCGCCTGATTTCACGGCGACTGCATTCTATGACAACCAATTCAAAAAAGTAGGGATGAGCGGCTAACCCAAATATAAATTTCTGATTTTTTAAGCTAAGAAGGTGAGGGCTTCATTACTGTTAGCTTTTTTAATATTTCCCAAATGTTTTTTAAAATAATTTCTGCTACTTTATGTAATTTATTTGATGTTTCACATTTCAAAAATTTAGATTAGTTTCATTATAGTACCCCAGAAAATTATAACCCTCTGATAAAACAAAAACCCTACTGTGATTAAAATTTTTTTACTAGGCTGAGGGGGGGTTATAAAAAAAATTAACAAAAAATAACAAAAAAATAAATTAAAATATGACCTTTTCTACATCCTTAAAATAACAATAACCGCAGTTGCGCATCCCTATTAAAAGGTGACGAACAAGGACTACCTGGGCAAATACTTGATTCTGTTCTTCTATCCGAGTGACTTCACTTTCGTCTGTCCAACTGAGATTATCGCATTCAGCGACCGCATCAAAGAATTCAAGGCAGGTCTTCTGCATAGAAAATTTAAAATGGCATCCTGGCGGACTGAAAAAATTATACATTGCTAATAGCAAACAAATATAAATGGTAGAATATCAAAGACCGATCGGGTATAAAATGAAGAAAAAAAACGGAAAAAAACAAAAGCTTTGACGTTGTTCGATTATTTCATTAATTTTTGACAAAATTTTTTTTAATTGTCTTTAAACGCCAGTCAGAATATTCACGGTTTTGTTCTGTGACGAGCAGCATTGTTTATTATAAAAATCATAAATTTTTCAAAACAAGAACTAAATTTGTGTTTGTAATATGCGTGTATTTGTGTTATCAGACTTCTCCTCCCACCGTACCAAGTGGATTTTTAATACAAGATCTGAAATTTTTTAGTTCTTACATAAGTATATTCTCAGATCTGAATTTTGTAATTTCAAATCTTTGTTAAGTATTTAATTTATGTATTTCAAACAAACTATTGAGTTTCGAATTTTGCAGTTTTTGCAGAACTTAATTATATTTAGATTAGTAAGCGGAAAAAAACTTCCGATTTATTAAATAAACATTTTTTTTTCGAAATAACTCTTTTATTCAACTGTTTTGAAAAATTTCCGAAAACCAATAGAAGACATCAAGCTTTTGAATTTCAAGCTTATACATTTTCGATATTTATCCCATGCATTGGGAACAGCATTTCATCAGTCTCCGATGAGAGATTTTGCAAAATACCTGCTAGCAGCTAGCAGAAGCCATTAAATACATAACTATCTAAAAAAAAATTGGCAGAAAAAACGGCAAAAGCAAGTTTTCAGATCGGAAATAACCATGAAATACAAATTTTTAGATCTGAAATAAACTTTTCAGATCTGAAATAATCAAGAAGAATAATACATTAGGTACGAAATTAAATCTTGAAAAACCAATTTTTAATATATCCAAGCTTGATTTCAACGTTTCACAGCGCATTCTTAAAGTAACCAAGCTTCATTTTATCATTTCACAACCCATTTTAGATATGAATTTTAGATCTGAAAAGATTATTTCCGATCTGAATAAAACATTTACTAGGTACGGGCTATAATTGTAGTTCCTGCGAATCGCAGAGGAGCTATCAGTAGGCCTTAACAGTCCTGTCGAGGATAGTCCATTTGTATTATTTCCCCACATTCCAGACTGTGTTATTTTTGTTGAGCGAAGCTCTTTTTTTGCGACTCAAGGCCGTTTTTGTGCGTCTAGAACTTTCACGTGGTACCACTATTGCAGCCAAATTTGGTCAGGTTGTGGTAGACCTGAAGCTAGAGGTCAAGTGAGAGCTCGTCCTCACACACTATCATTGCCATGGCATGGGGTCGATTGCACGATCTGACGATTCTAAAGTGAACGCCTTACCACTATGCTAAGTGCCCCTATAATCCTAAAATACTCATAGGGCTATGAAATATTACATGCATGCGCATATGAATACGAAGAGTTTCATGGAATAACTTTATAGTTTGGTCAAAGAAATGCGGATAAAAAAAGCAAAAAAGTTTCAAAAGATCAATTCAGACATGTTTTCTCCAGACATGTTTCAACTTTTTAAGACGAGAGTCAATAATAGCGTCTGCAAACGTTTCATGTGCTGAGCTCAAACCTTAAAATCTGTGTTCCGCAAAGTTATAAGAGTTTATAACTAGCCATTTTGGGCTAGTTTGAATTAAGGTACTGGTAAATATAAATAAATATTTTTCTATATATGCTTAATATATCTCTGTGTTTTTAAAAGTGTGAGTAGGAAAAGGGGGTTTATTTTCAAAAAACTCATTATGAGAAAAATCTCATTTATTGAATCAAACTATACTCCCTGGACTTAGAGACCGACGGAATAGTCAGGGCGTAACCCTGATAATTTCAGTGTTGCTAACGAAAGTAAAATTAGGTTCACTTAGAAATAAATCTTCTTACAATTGAATTTAGCGAAACTTTCCAAAACACTGAAAAAAATATAAGATAAAGCGCAGTTTTGGAAGAGCTTTTGCACAGTTAGACAATAGGCATTGAAGCGGTGATCCGATTCTACAGATCTAAAAAATTCATTACAAAACATTACGCTGAAAATTACGGACCACAAAGGGCTATACGGCTCATTAGGAAACAAATGAAAAGCAATATTATTCAGGCAATGACATTCAAAAAGTGATGCGCTAAGAGTTTGGCTGCAGGGGGTAGGAGTTCATTTCTGGATTTTCTTGTATTGCTTGAAAGAAAATCTTGTCGGAAGTTTCATGGAAAAGTTCCATGAACTTCCACAAACGTATTTTTACAAAAGTTTTCACGTGTTGAACTTGATTACAGGAAAATAATTGCGAAGTGGTTGCCTGTTCGACTGACTCGGAGTACTGTCACAGGGCGTGGGTCATGACAGACCGGAAGAAGGGGGGTCTGGAAAAGATCAACTTCCCCATTCTGGCAGACACTACCCTCGAAATATCCTCCAGGTCAGTTTGCTGTTTTACAAGATACAAAACATTAGGAAGGTTCAGATAATCGAAAATATGCGGAGTCCAGTTCCTCGTTTTGAATTCAGAATTTCGAAAACGAAATTCATAATTTCTTTATACTTCCTCTCTGGCGTCTCTCAATCCTCATTCTTGAAGTCGATAAAACTTTCTAAGCCGTTTTGGACGCTCAATCGAGGTTAGAGAAGCTGAAAGAACTAAAATTTAAAACAAAAAATTTCCGTCTTTCGAGATGCTTAAATTCGAGCGAAAACTGCTTTGCAGCTCGAACCAGTCTTAACAAAAAAAAAAAAAAAAAAACAAAAAAAAAATTTGGTCAATTCCCAAAAAGAAACTTGCGAGCCATTGGATTGTACAGCAATTCAGACAAAAATTAAGACGAGGTGATAATCAACTCAGCGCGAAAACGGAAACCCATAAATACACAAGATAGACGGTTACGGTGCAAATAGATTAGAATGTTCCGACTGTCTTAAAATTCTTTAATTTATAGTCCGTTTTTTGCGTGGTGTAATAAACGGATCTGAATGAAAAACTAGAGCGCAAGCATATTCGACAGTCATATGAAAACAAGCAAATTGGAAAACAATTGTTTCAGAAAAATGACAGAAAAACCAAAAGATCCGCAAAAATACTCAAAAATGCGCTTAAGTACTCAAAAAAGTACTACGTTTAAGTACTACGTTTTTACCATTTAAATCAAGCAGTTGTAAGCTTTTAAGCTATTAAATAAACTATTGTAAACCTGCTTGCTCATTCAAAACTAGACGAAAAATCAAAGAGCTTCAAATCAATTTTTCTCCACACTGGGAAAAATTATTGAAAATTTTTAAATTTCGTTCGAATCACAACTGAAAGGGCTTTAAATGATTATTTGTTTTAGCTGATTTTGCTTGGAAAAAAAACGAAAATCAAGAAAAAAAGTTAAAAAAACTAAATTACTTCCGACACAAAGTTCCTCCCCATTTTTCAGAGGGTCGGAAATTCTAAGAAGAAGTTAAGTTTTTGAAAACGACCACAAAAAGTGTGATGAAATATTGGTCCGTGTCTCTAATTTTTTGCAGCCAAATTAACGTCCTAACGGAACACTCATAATTGAAGGATTGTCGTCATATTAATTGCATTTTAAAGTCCTATCTGCTGTTATTTGGGTTTTAAAAAAATCTACAAAATTGGTCTATTTTTTTTTTTTTACTAAACCCCCCTTCTTCTAAATACTGGTTGCCAAATTTTTCCAAAGAGCCTCCCTTTAGTATAACTTTATGGCATACATCCATGTTTGCCTGACCAACCTCAAAATTTTTCTACAGGAGTATTTGGCGCCAATACAATTAAATTTGAGAGGAGAGCGCGCGCCAAAAAAACGCATTTTTTTGGTCAAAGTTTTCCAAAAAGTGCCTAAAAACCCTTTTTTGTCCTGTTTTATGAAAAAAAAATTTTGCATGCGGCGCACTTTTTTTTGACAAAACAAGGACCCTATTGTAGTATTTTCGGAGAGCTCGGAAAATCAAATTGATCGACGTAAAAAAAGGTCCGCAAAGCTTTTACAATTTTTGGAAAAAATGCTCCTTCCCTTGAAAAAATTCTGCGCTCGCCAATGCTTTTCAGTAAACTTCAGATAAGTTGAGCTAGCTATATTTTGATCTCCAAATTTTATATTGGAACTTACCGTATATAAATTGGTCTTTAGTAAATTGAAGGGATAGCTAGATAGTTTATGAGGCAAATTGCTCAAATTTAACATTAAAACCAAAAAACAAAAAAACTCTGCAAATAAATGTTTTCGGTTTTTGACGTGTATGACTTCAATAATTATTCAATAAAATTATTTGTTTTATTGGCTTAATTTGGATTGACTTTCATACGACATTATTATTGTGATGGTAAGATTTTGCACCACTTAAAACTCAGCCAGCTAACTTTGTATTATTATGCAAACTGTTGATTGTGATTTGATCTTAGTCGAATGTGATGTTTTTGGTAGTATTTTTCAGTAAACTTCAGTTAATTTTGTTTTAAAACAATTTCGCTATCCGATTTTTCTCTGCTTGAATACAATTTTTTTCTAATTGGTATTTTAGAAGCCGTTGAAAAATTGTCAAAAAATTTTACACAAGCTGGGCTACTTTTTCAGAAACTGTTTAAAATTAAATTTCTGTTTCTAGAAAGATTTTGAGCACGAACTTTCCAAGATGGCCAAGATGGACCCTAAATTATAACTTTCCAATCATGAGTCAAACATGGTCGATAGAGTCAAACAGGGTCGACTCATGAGTCGAACACGGTCGAATCATGAATCGAAGATGGTCGAATCATGAGTCGAAAAGGGTCGAACCATGAGTCGAACAGGGTAGAATCATGGGTCGAATCAATAGTCGAACAAAGTCGAACCATGAGTCGAACAGGGTTGAATGATGGGTCGAACAACAGGGTCGAATCATGAGTCGAACAGGTTCAAATCATGGGTCGAACCGGGTCAAATCATGAGTGAAACAGGGTCGATAGAGTCAAACAGGTTCAAACCATGGGTCGCACAGAGTCGCAACATAGCTAATTTGGGTCGCGCAAAGTCGCAACATGGGTCGCGCAAAGTCGCAACATGGGCCGCGCATTCGGAACATAGGTCGCACAAAACTTCAGTAAAGGAATTGTTGTCGGATTTTTTGCTTGCATAAGCAATATACAGATGCCGATTGCAAAATCATCCAGTATATGTGAACTTTTAATGTGCAGTCAGCTAGATCAACATATGTGCTGATCAAATACAGGACCGCCACGAGAAGGCCTACACATGGTCCCAACGTAAAATATAAGCAATCTTTTTAGGGCAACAACAAACTCGTTACCACAAAAATTGAAAGCTTGAAACCATTCAAATCAAACATAAATCAGAAAAAATAAATGAATATTAACAAAAAAGACAATAACTAAATGAAACACACTTACCACGAAGCTACAGTTAGAAATAATTTTTGGTACCATATGCACGAATCGACTTTTTCCAAAAAATATTTAAAACTATTGTTAAAAACAATTGAAAAGGCGCAGCACACTCTTAACCTGTGAAATATAAGACAATCGATTGAGATTGAAGACTAGCAAATCCAAAGTTAGAAAAATAACAAAATTTTCACCTTTAAAAAACCGACAAAAAATGAAAACAAGATGCATTTTCATTGAGATGTCAGAAAAAGCTTTTGTACAGTTTCGAGCAATCGAAATCAACAATCAGACTCTGTTTCTGCTGGCTTCCGGAGAGTTTTGCCCAAAAAAGTTTTTCTCTAATATAAAATCCAAATTATAAACGGTAAATATGATATTCTCCAGTTTTTTTTTGATACCATATGCACAAATAGACTGTTTCCAAGATATACTCAAAAATATCGTTAAAAACATTTATGAAATAGAGGATAATGGATTGAGATTGAAGATTGGTAAACCCAAAATCCGAAAAAAAAATTATTTTCACCTTCCAAAACCCGACAAAAATTAAAACAAGATGCTGCCTCTGAATCAGCTCTCTTCGGGAAAATTTTGCCCCAAAAAGGTTTACAATCACGCTGAATTTTGGAACGTAATTTACTTCAGCGTTTTAACTTTAAAATAATTGCTTTTTTTTAGTTTTCTTTGATTGCAATAAGTTGCAGTTCAAAATATATCTTTTTTTAAAATTTCAATTCGAGTTTACAGGCATACCATAACGATGTTATTTTTTTCATCCCAAATTCTTGCTGTTCACGAATTATATAACTAATATAGAAAATTATATACAACATTTGGGACACATTTTGTCATCCATCGAGGATTTTCGTAAAAAATTGCTCTATTTTAGGGCGGTAAGTAAAGACAAAAAGTGTACATCCACAACGGTATGTCGAACTGACTTTTTTTGAGAACTCGCTACATAATTATTTTGAGTCGCAACAGTCGCAACATACCTTATTTAAGTGGTGTAAAGTCGCAAAAGACCTTATTTGGGTCGAGCAAAGTCGCAAAAAAGCTTCTTTGGGTCGCGCAAAGTCGCACTTAAGTCCCCGACCTCGACCCGGGAACCAAAAAATGCTTGATCAAGTCGGTCAAAACATAATAAATTTTGGTCGAGTCGGTCAAAACATTGCCATTTTTAAAAAAAGCCGGTCAAAACATAGCTATTTTTGGTCTGGTTGATTGAAACGTAAGTCCAACAACTCAACCCGGGCTATACGAAACTTTGATGCTCAAGTTTGTGACCTTTTGTATTATATTTTGCGGCTGCCCAGGCTGAGATTTTCGACACATGATTTGACAGAAACGGCCAAACGATGTCCGAGTTTTTTTTGTCAAAGCCAAAAAAAGTCGAACCATGTCCGGTAAAATCGAAAAAAGTCGAACAAAATCGAACATTGTCAGGTATAGTCGAACAAAGTCGAACAATGTCCGTTAAAGAAAAACAAAACCGAAAACGGACATCGTTCGAATGAAAAAAAAAATGGACATCGTTCGACCGTTTCGGTCAAATCATGAGTCAAGCACCTCCGCCGGGGTTGTTCGCTTGGTTGAAAGTTTTTTTTCAGCCAATCAGCGTACATATGCAGGCCTTAGGGTGTGCATTTGCTATTTAATTTTAGGGAGGAGATTGTTGGCTTGGTCTATTCAGGAGGAGATTGTTCAAATGGGTCAATGATAGGCCAATGGGCCAAAATTTGGTTGAAATCGCTTTATTTTTTAGTTGTAAGATGAGTTGTCCATGAGGTAGCAATACCAATGCTTTAGGAATAGTCTTTGAAATTCAATAACTGTTGTTAAATTCTTGCTTATAAACTCAGCTTGTTTTTTCCGTTCAGTTTAATGCTATTGCTCCTAGCTAGCTCTTAATTTTTCAAACAGAAACTGACTGTGATATATTCCCATTCTTGCAAAAATTGATACAAAAAACGGAAATCATTAACTGATTGTGGGGTCATATTACATAATGCTGATAAAATAATTTTCAAAGCTAC